TGTCGCCCTCTGACCTCCTCTTGTGCTACTTTTTCCCTATTGCTTATTCTCACCTCACCCAAATATCGTCTAAATGTTCCTAATAAGAACATATTGTTTTTGATAACAAACAAACAAACAAAAACTATTCATAGCGATAAAAGTATAAGGGCGTAATCTCCCTTTTTAGTCAAACATTTTCTTTATAAGAACAGAATTAATTAACAGGGTCAAGTCTTTAGAAGAAAAAACAAGTTCGCGGCAAGAGCTTGAACGGCCTTGGATGCCTGTGGTCCTGATAAAGACGTCAGTGAAGACAGGCCTCTGCAGTAAATCAAACTGCATGGTGTGGCGGAATGATGTCTGAATTCAGCATTGAAACACCTTGCTCAAGCCTCTCACTAACTGTGAGACCTTGACTAAGTCACCATTCTCTCGGATTCATAGCTCCCTGATGCGTAAAGATGAAGAAATTAACGTACAAAACTCATTTATAGACCCAGTGCTTTGCCAGAGAAATCCTTACAACGTGAGCCCACCAAAAACACATCTAATAAGGTTGATTTATTCCCAGGAATGCTACTGAAAGTTCTTGATCAATCTGCCTATATAAAAAAGGATGGCTGAGCATGAACCAAAACAGCACCCATGGTCGGGGCCTGGTGGCAGAATAAGTGACGTAACAACTTCTAAAAAACTATGAACTCTACACGGAGAGGGTGGATCCTGGGCCTCGGGAAGGCAAGGAAGCCACACACCTGAAGGGAACACAGGTTGGGGCCGAAGGCTTCCTATGAAGCCCAGAGGGGGGAATTAACTATCCAGAGGTTCTGGGGAACTGCTCCCGAAGGAAACAAACCAGGAGTCAGAAAACACCATCGCCTCCAGAGACACAGCTGGAAGCTTAGGGTGTCCTTTCCTCTTCTCCTCAGCGGGTCGGTGGCAGCAATCTGGCCGCCCAACCTGTCCCACTCACCGGGTCAACCGGCCTGCGAGGCCCTTTTTATTGTATAAGTTTGGGAACTCCTGGCCAGACCCGCCCCAGACTGAGAAATCGCTAGGGGGCCATCAGCTCCGGAGACTGTCGCTAAGGAAACGGGGCCAGGTTCCGGGATTAGCCCATCATCGTTTCCCCTGAGCCCAGCCCCAGACCTCCGGGGGCGTGGCTACGTGAGTGACGCACGGAAGGGGCGGGGTCAGACGGAGGAGGACCCGGAGATAGTGACCGTCCTGGGCGCACGCGCACTGTGTAGAGCGGCCGGCTACCTGGAAGGTGAAAACTGGCGGCGGCCGAGGTGGGGCTATGGCCGGTGCCAGCGACCCTCCCGGCATATCTCTGCGAGAAGCCACCGAGCGAAAGTTGCGGAGGTTTTCGGAGCTGAGAGGTATCGGAGGAGGAAGCCCGGCCCTCCCGGGCAATAGAAAGAAAGGGGGGTCCTGGACGTGCTGTGAAACTTGCTGGACGGTCACTTCCGGGATGGTTCTCTCGCACCTGTGGGCCCAGGACGCTGGCCCGCGCATAGCTAATAACACCTTGAATGCTTTATTCTTTTCTTTCACTGTCCTCTCTGTACGTTATGCTTGTCACTTTCTTTAACTTCTAGTGTCTAGGTAGATAGGTAGATACAGATAGAGCTAGTGAAGCTATAAATTCAAGTTATGCATTTGGTTAGTTCATAAACACAAATTACTTACATAAATCTGAAATAGCTAAAACATAGCGTTTTGACCTTTACAAATGTGATTTTTAGCCTTCTCCCACCTCCCTACCCACTTCACCAATTTGTTCCGTGATGTGAACGCTTACTGAGATTATATAATGTGTGTGTGTGTATATACACACACACACACACACACACACACGGAGGGATTATGGATTATTAAAACGAGTGAGGGTGAATCAAAATGTTTGTGGTTTTGTTTTTTTTCTTTAAAGGCTTATGTCACTTGTCATTCCTTGTACAACTGTAATAAAATTCCTTTTTTTTAATGAAGTTACTGCTTTAAAAATACAGGAAATAATACTAGAATGATAAAACGTTCAGAACTATTACATTCTAGGTGATAAGTCCTGTTTGTTAACTAATAAGAACAATTTTTATTTTATTTTATTTTTTAATAAAAAGAAGCTTCCAGCTGTCTACCAAAAGTTCAGTCTGTCTTTTAAAGAGTTCATCTGGGAGTTGGGAACTTTCCTATTATCCAAAATTGTATGTCATACTCCATTAGCCCTTGTAAAATTGCATGGCTCTTTTTAAGGTAGTACAAAATAAAGTACCCACATTTGTAAACAGCCACATTGTAGTAATGGATATTTGGGTTGAATCTTTCTTAGCCAAGGAACACGAGTCCTAATAATATGAAAATTGATTCATTTATTTGTTCCTTTGTCTCGTTATTTAAGAATTGAGATAATCTTTAGAAAATCAGTAATACTCTTAATAGAATATCTAAGTAAATGGGTCTGTAGATCATAAAAGAAGAAAGTAATCTAAAAGAGAAAAAACAATTTATGAACAATCCTCAGAATTATTTGAATCACACTACTACTTGCTTAATCTTCAAAAGCAAAAGATGCATTTATGGAGATGATGATATTACCTCTTTGTTTTCCCCTCTTTCCAAATAAGTAAACCTGTTACAGAATTCTGATAATATTTATCATTTCCTTGTTGTTTGTTCACATAGGCAAACCCGTGGCCGCTGGCGAGTTCTGGGACATTGTTGCAATAACAGCAGCTGATGAAAAACAAGAACTTGCTTATAAGCAACAGCTGTCAGAAAAGCTGAAAAAAAAGGAGTTACCCCTGGGAGTTCAATATCATGTTTTTGTTGATCCCGCTGGAGCCAAAATTGGTAAGCTTTTATGGTCAGATTTATATCATAGAGTCTAGGTAAAATAATCATTGAAGAAAAGTTTTCCTGTGTCATGCAATTTATAAACTACATATCTTTCCACCATAGTCCTTACTAACTTTAGAGTTTTTATATGAATTCACTAGTTTTTAAAAAATGATAAAAGTCATAGCAACTTTCGTGTGTGTGGGGGGGTGGGAGGGGGTGTGTTCATTTTTTTTTTAAATCAATTTCAGGGAGGAAGGAAGAGGGAGAGAGAGATACAACAATTATGAGAGAGAATCATTGATTGGCTGCCTCCTGCTTCTCCCCTACTGGGGATGGAGCCTGCAACTCTGGGCATGTGCCTTAACCAGAAATGACGGGCGTAGATTTACACTCAACTACTGAGCCATGCCTGCTGGGCAAAGCTTAGCAACTTTCTTATACATTGTGACTTACCATGAAAACTTCCCAAATGTTATATTATTGAAAAGACAATTGTATTAATTTTAAAATTTATACAGATGGTAAATAGTCTATTGGATCTTATCAGTTGGGTTCCTAAGATCCCTGCAAAATTTTCTTCGGAAATTTATGTAAGGAGATCAAAACAGGAAAAATATATACTACTTGACTTCTTGAGTTCACAATTGCAGAATGCAAAAGAGCATAGCCTAATGCAGTGGTTCTCAGCCTTTCTAATGCCTCGACCCTTTAATACAGTTTCCTCATGTTGTGGTGACTCCCAACCATAAAATTATTTTCTTTGCTACTTTATATCTGTAATTTTTCTACTGTTGGTCTTAGGCTCTACAATAGTCAAACCCACAGGTTGAGAACCGCTAACAGGGTCGCCTAAAACCATTGGAAAACACAGATATTTACATAACAGTAGCAAAATTACAGTTATGAAGTAGCAACAAAAATAATTTTATGGTTGGGGATCACCACAACATGAGAAACTGTATTAAAAGGTTGCAGCATTAAAAAGGTTGAGAACCACTGGTCTAATGGCTTATGTATCAGAGGTATTTACTTTAAAAATCTAATTTCCATAAAGTTTGCCATTTATCCTTTCATTGCATGCTATTTTTGTGGGGGCAGTTTTTCATGTAATGCTAAAACTGAAGCCCCTTGATACCAGAGATAGGGTATCTATATCTGACATAGGTATTGTTCTAATTAGCTGCGTTTTAATCCTCACAGCTAGCAGTCAGTACTATAGGATTCTCATTGTATAGATGAGATTTAGAGGCACAGAAAGTTAAGTAACTTGCCCAAGGTAACTAGTAAGGAAACCAAATTCTAAAAAAACTTTTTAGCCAAAGCTGGTTTGGCTCAGTGGTAGAGCGTGGGTCTGCGGACTGAAAGGTCCCAGGTTCGATTCCGGTCAAGGGCATGCACATTTGTTGCGGGCACATCCCAGGTAGGGGGTGTGCAAGAGGCAGCTGGTCGATGTTTCTCTCTGGTCGATGTTTCTCTCTCATTGATGTTTCCAGCTCTCTAGCTCTCACCCTTCCTCTCTGTAAAAAATCAATAAAATATATTTAAAAAAAACTTTTTAAAAAGCAAGTTTAACTTACATATTTGATTGTCATAAGGGAGAATTATTTAAATGTTTTTTGCAATTTGTCATTCCAAGTGAATTATATATATAATACTTACAGTATGTGTGTGTGTGTGTGTGTGTGTGTGTGTGTGTGTGTGTTTATAGTTTTCTGTGTTGTGGATTACCTATTTTATAATATCTTTATTGTGTATTAATATTTTTAGGAGAAGATTAGCTCATCATTTATTACTGGGGCTGATCTCTGGTTTTCATTGCTAATTATTTATTTAATTGCTGTAAAAGGTGTATTTAAATTGATTTTTTTGCCAATATTTTTGTTCTCTACCTAGTTAATTGTAGCCAACAAGCCGTTCTAATACCTAAAAGTTCTAATACCTAAATTTACCATACAAGATTTTAGTAAATTTATATGAAATAAAATGTACATTTTTAATTTTATTTTTAAGGTAATGGAGGATCAACATTTTGTGCTCTTCGATACTTGGAAAAGCTATATGGAGATAAATGGAATTCTTTTACCATCCTATTAATTCACTCTGGTAAAATTATACTTTACTGATTTACTGATTTTACCTTTGATATCTTAGAACAGTGGTTCCTAACCTTTTTTTGGCCATGCCCCACCTAAGCATCTCTAAAATTCTATTACCCTCCTCCTCCCCCCCCACCTCCACCCCCATACCACCCTGTGACATAGAATTCTTACTATTCAAAAAATGAACTCCTATTCAAGTGGAGGAAGCCTAAAAGGCCATTAACTTGGTCTAAACAGGCTTCCAAACAACATGGCATCCATGAAAGAGAAAAATAAAAGAACGAAAGGACAGTTAAAGTACTGAAGAAGAAATCACTAAGAAATTGTTTAAAAAATAATAATAATATGAAAAAAATAGCAAATATAATAGAGAACTGAAATGCATAAATATTTCACTATATGTTTATATAAAAGGAGGCCCTTAGAACCATAAGAAATGCAAAAAATTCACTGTTAATAACTCATTCTCAAATTGCCCTCCTTAAAAATCAAATTGTGCCCCATGTTGAGAACCACTGTCTTAGAACTTTCCTTTTTGTTTTTTTGTCTTTGAAGTTAGTCTGCTTTGAAAATAAATATTTTATGCTTTTTTTTTTAATATATATTTCTAGTTTGTAAGTAATATTATGTTTTCCACAATATTTATCTTTAAAAGTGTGGATCACATACATTGACTATTTATGGGCATTATGTTTAATATGTATGTACAAAATTATTTTCCAGAGACGGCTCATCAAAATATGAATATTTTTCAATAAGTCTTTAGAAGGGATTCTTGCCATAGGGAAGAAGCTGGTTTAGCACTGTGATCCCCATACTATTGGCAGAAACCTTATATCTTGCATTTAAAATATATATATATAATTGATTTTTTACAGAGAGGAGGAGAGAGGGATAGAGAGCTAGAAACGTTGATGAGAGAGAAACATTGACCAGCTGCCTCTTGCACACCCCCTACCAGGGATGTGCCCGCAACCAATGTACATGCCCTTGACCGGAATCTGCCCTTGACTGGAATCAAACCTGGGACCTTTCAGTCCACAGACCGACGCTCTACCACTGAGCCAAACTGGTTTCGGCATATCTTGCATTTTTATTTGATTATTGGTAGACAAAGTCTACAATTCTTGAAGGATTTACAAGAATAAAAAGGTGGTGACAAAACATGAAGTTGATGAGAAAATACCTGAGGGAAAATTACATATAAAAGATTCATTGTAAAGCAGAAAAGTAGGAAAGAATTAATCTCAGAAAAGAGGGTAGGTGTTTGTTTTAATTGGATGTTTTGTTGTATGAAAATATTTATTTTATAAAAACCTCTATTATTTTTCTCTATGAATTAGGTCTGATGAAAACTTTGTCATGGTCTGGCACTGTGGCTTCCAACACACTTTCTATTTCTTATGATTGTTATACAGAAAAGTGATTTTAAAATATATATATTAAAATATATATATATTTCTTTATTGATTTTAGAGAAAAAGGAAGATGGAGAGATAGAAACATCAATGATGAGAAAGAACCATAGATCAGCTGCCTCTTGCACACCCCCTTCTGGGGATCGAGCCTGCAATCTGGTCATGTGTCCTTGGCCGAAATCAAACCTGAGACCCTTCAGTCCCTTAGGCTGATGCTTTATCCACTGACCAAACCAGCAAGGGCTGTAATGATGATTTCAAATAAAGGATGCAAGTTATGATTTTATGGCTGGCTGTAAAACATTTTCAAATTTAGCCCAGCTGGCATGGCTTAGTGGTTGAGCAGCCACCTATGAACCAGGAAGTTACTATTTGATTCCTGGTCAGGACACATGCCTGGGTTGTGGGCTCAAACCCCAGTAGGGGGTGTGCAGGAAGCAGATGATTAATGATTCTTTCTTCTTTTTCCTTCCTCTCTGAAATCAATTAAAAAAAAAAAAAGATGTCAAGAACATGTAGCAAAACTTTTAAGTATTACTCAAATAAAACAATTAGTTTTTCTAAGCCATCAAAAAATTTTTCAAATGTATAGTTTTACTCCAGAACAACTATTATTTAGTAAAAGTTAAATTCGATATCAGAAAATATGTTGTTAAAAATATCTAATTCTTACAATGCTAAGCTTTGATATTGGCTAATCTTTAGAACAGTGTACTACATGCGAAGTGTTTTACATGTATAATTGATCTCATAAAACATGACAAGGCAAGTATTATTCTACATTTGCTTATTTGGAGTATGTCCAAAGATAAAAAACTTAACCTGTAGTAAGCCTGAGTCTGAACCCAATTTTGTCTGACTCTACTCTCTCTACTATTGTAATACTGCCTCTCACTGTACTTACTAAACATAAAAATGATGTAAGCTATTTAACTTACTTACAAGAACACACTTCAAGCAATTAAGAAGTCATTAGGCTAATCTTGGTGGGAAAGCCTATTTAAATTAAAAAGAAGTATAAGTTTTAAAGTGCTTTTACATAAATGTACCTTTGCTTCCTTTAAGTCTATGTAATAATTTCAGGAAAGACACTGCATTTGGAAAGTACAATTTAGTAGATAGTGTTGGAATTTGTATGTTATTATTTTGTTGTGTGTGTGGCTTGCTTTTACCCCTGTAAAGTGGATTATTATTATAGGTATTATTTAAATGGTGAAATTGTTTAAAAATGTAGATGTGCGGTCGTGGTTTAGCCTGTAGTCCATTTTATTAGCTATACAGTGGGTTTAAAACAGTTCACATTCTCTAAAGTTGTGGTCAGCAAACTCATTAGTCAACAGAGCCAAATATCAACAGTACGACGATTGAAATTTCTTTTGAGAGCCAAATTTTTTTAACTTAAACTTCTTCTAATGCCCCTTCTTCAAAATAGACTCACCCAGGCTGTGGTATTTTGTGGAAGAGCCACACTCAAGGGGCTAAAGAGGCCAAAGTCGTGAGCCGCAGTTTGCCAATCAGAGCTCTAAAGTATATGGGAATTATTTTCTAATCTAGAATCTTTAAAACTACAGTATTTCCAAAGAATAGGGGAGAATTTTTCTTTGATTTTGTATTCTGGAGTTTATTATTCTTTCTTGAGTTACAGTAATACATTATATATATTGAATATTTTTAGATACATTTTGAGTTACTCCCAGTGCCCCTGGGTTTTTACATTATTGGAAACATTCATATAAACATTTTATAAGAATAATTTTATTTAATTTTATAGGTGGCTACAGTCAACGCCTTCCAAATGCAAGTGCCCTGGGGAAAATTTTCACTGCTTTACCTTTTGGTAACCCTATTTATCAGATGTTAGAATTAAAACTAGCCATGTACATTGACTTCCCCTCACATATGAATCCTGGGATTCTGGTTACCTGTGCAGATGATATTGAACTTTATAGTATCGGAGAATCTGAGTTTATCAGATTTGACAAGCCTGGCTTTACTGCGTTAGCTCATCCTTCTAGCTTGACTGTAGGTACCACACATGGAGTATTTGTCTTAGAACCTTCCAATTGTTTAGAATACAGAGACCTCGAATATCGGTGTTGCCATCGTTTCCTTCATAAGCCCAGCGTAGAAAGCATGTGTCAGTGTAATGCTGTGTGTAGATCTGGAAATTTTTCTCAGCAGGACTTATCTGGGAGTGACACTGCCTCTTTTAAATTTGAATCTGAATATGTCTACACAGACAGCCTATTTTACATGGATCATAAATCAGCAAAAAAGTTACTTGCTTTTTATGAAAAAATAGGCACACTGAACTGTGAAATAGATGCCTATGGAGACTTTCTGCAGGCTTTGGGACCTGGAGCAACCATGGAGTATACCAGAAACACATCAAATGTCACTAAAGAAGAGTCAGAGTTGGTAGACATGAGGCAGAGAATATTTCACCTTCTTAAAGGGACACCACTAAATGTTGTTGTTCTTAATAACTCCAAATTTTATCACATTGGCACAACTGAAGAATATTTGTGTCACTTTACTTCAGCTAGCAGTTTGAAGTCAGAGCTTGGCTTACAGTCCATAGCTTTTAGCATCTCACCAGCAATACCAGAATGCTTTGGTACCACATCCTGTATCATTCAAAGTATATTGGATTCAAGATGTGCTGTGTCACCTGGCTCAGTTGTGGAGTACTCCAGATTGGGGCCTGATGTTTCAGTTGGGGAAAACTGCATTATTAGTGGTTCTTCTATCATAACAACAGCTGTCCTGCCTGCTTATTCTTTTGTGTGTTCCTTAAGCTTGAAGATGAATGGACACTTAAAGTATTCAACTATGGCATTTGGAGTGCAAGACAACTTGAAAAGGAATGTTAAAACATTGTCAGATATAAAGTCACTTCAATTCTTTGGTGTCTGTTTCCTGTCATGCTTAGATATTTGGAATCTGAAAGTTACAGAGGAGCTCTTCTCTGGAAACAAGACATGTTTGAGTTTGTGGAATGCTCGTATTTTCCCAGTCTGTACTTCTTTGAATGATTCAGTTACAACATCCATAAAGATGTTAAATGCTGTGCAAAGCAAGTCAGCATTCAGCCTGCATGACTATAAACTGTTGTCCATTGAAGAAATGCTTGCCTACAAAGATGTACAAGACATGATAACCTATAGGGAGAAAATTTTTCTAGAAATTACTTTGAATAGAAAACTCTGATTTGGAGACATCTTAAATATTGCATACTTTGCCTTTCTTGAGCTAGATTGCAAATATACAAGTTTTTTGTAGATGTTTTTCTTTGTTTTATTTAATGAAAATTATCTTGTATTAACATAATTGCTGCAGCATAATATCAATAACACAAAAATACCATTTTTGATAAACCATTTTTTTTATATATTTTATTGATTTTTCACAGAGAGGAAGAGAGAGGGATAGAGAGTTAGAAACATCCAGGAGAGAGAATCATCGATCAGCTGCCTCTTGCACACCCCCTACTGGGGATGTGCCCGCAACCAAGGTACATGCCCTTGCCCGAAATCGAACCTGGGACCTTTCAGTCCGCAGGCTGACGCTCTATCCACTGAGCCAAACCGGTCCCGGCATGATAAACCATTTTTTGAAGAAAGAATATTTCAAGGCTGTAAGTTCAGGAAAGGGATTTTTAGATGTTTATTACTATTTTAATATTTTTATAAATTAAGATGGATTTATGGAGAATTAGTTTGTTCTCATAATAATGTACTAGTTTTAAAGGTAATTTTCTAAACATACCCTTAGGTTTTCCCTTTTCTTTTGGGCTTCAGTTCCAAAAAAATTTCTTAATGCTTATTGGCAGTTCTATCTCAGATGAAGTCATTCTACTGCTTAATAAAAATATTATAGTATACTATATGATCATCAGAGCAC